GATAAACTTATTCACTTAATCTCTTTGTTAGACAGATGAATGTAAATGTTCCTAACAGCCCAATGGTCTGTGAATGCATAACTTATCGCTCTCAAACAGGGCTGTTTATTTCAGGTACTCTGGTTACATACACGCTCACATACTCAGAGACACATGAATAATTTAATCTGCCTTTTTCTGTTTTCTCTAATTCTATTTTCTTTTGCATGTTCAATACATATTGTCTTATATATTTCAACTCTTTTGCGCAACACATGTTTAAAAACCCCTGCCATAGAGGACATTAGTTGGCCACTCATTCTAAGGCCTGATGAGTGCCATTGTACGACGGGCCTGTTTGTTTCTCTCCTTCGCTGAATCTCCTCCATTTCTTTTTCCCCCTCTCTCACCTGTAAACCCGTTGTCTGCTTAAATACCAACATAATTCTTCATCCTAATGATGAAATGTGCAAACATCTCTACAAACCTCACTACTTGCTGTGCAGAATGATAATGCTGGCTAGCGTTAAATACTGTTATACATCTTCCTCAGTCATGTGGGACAACATTTAAGCATTTTCGATTACCCAGAGGGCTTTTGGCAGGTTTAAGACATCATGAGACACCACGTTTAATTACAATGCAGTTTATTTTATTCTTTGGTACAATATACAACGTTCCCTGACTCATTAGAGGACAGATATGAAGAGAAATCTCCCTTTATTGTAAACCCTGGACTCTTTGTCAACACTTTGATGAATAGCTTCTGATATAGCATGTAGAATTACCTCACAAGTCGCAAGTAGCGAGCAATTTGTGAGGCTGACGAGTAACTCCATAAATCACCTCCTCTTCTCACATGAATTGATCAAATCAGGCCTGCCCGTGTGGAATGAGACACTGAGCAGCTACGAATGCCATGATGAAGAAAAGACTGCAACAAAGTCTGAAAATATTCGGCGTAATACCAACTAACTCCTCTTCCTCGGCTGACTTTCTTTCATCTGTGATCAGTATGTAAAAATATTCCCCCTGTTCCTTAAGGACAGGACTTGGTGCGCATACTTTGTTAAAGGACTGTTTGATCATAGCGAACAGGTCGGGCTGTGTGATGTTGACTTATAAGTCATTTGGCTTTGAATGGCGGATTTGGGACAGTATCATTGATCCTCTGAATCTCCGTTGGTTCTAGCTAAAGGTTAGAAAGTTGATATCAAGCTCTCGGCTATGTGCAAAAAGATGCCTTGATCTCCTTCCTCATGCTGGTGTGCACTCTAGATCGTTGTTATTGCTTATGTCAACATTATCGAGCTTTCCCTTGGCAGGTGCAATGCTGTAAATGCCAACAGAATCTGCCAATAGTCAAATCAGTTTGTGTCTAATGTATACTTAATTATTGCATACTAAATATGAATAAAAACGAAAAAGGTTTGTCTTTTTTATTTTTTGTACTGTCTGGTGTATTGTTTAAATGTCAAAAAATTTGACAGCTAAGAAAATCAAGAGTTAGTGGAGATAGTTTCTTAACACAGTAACTTGCTATTTAAATTTATGTAGCCAAATAACTTTCAAAAGTTTGGGGTCAGTAATGTTTGAAAGAAATGTTACTTTTATTCAGAAAGAATGCAATAAATTGATTAAAAGTGAGAGGAAAGACTTTAAAAAGTTAGAAACGATTTCAAATAAAAGCTGTTCAAATAAACTTTTTCTTCATCAAAGAAACTTAAATAAAATGGATCATAGTTTTCACAAAAACATTAGGCTGCACAACTGTTTTAAACACTGACAATAATAAGACTGTTTTTAAGAATGTTTCTTGAGCAGTAAATCAGTATATTAGAATGATTTCTGAAGGATCATGAGACACTAAAGACTGGAGTAATGATGCTGTAAATCCAGCTTTGCATCACAGAAATAAATTACATGTTAAAACATATTAAAATATATATATTTTTTTTAAATTGTAATTCTGTATTCTTACATTCCACATTGCATTTGATGGCTGAGAAATCTTCATTTTCTGCCAATGTGAACACTAACAAGTTTAGATGATTTGGCTTGGTTCCAGGCCATGATATAGCTTCAATGGCACTACAGTATGCAGATAAATTTTATTTTTTTTTATAGCTTTTTCAATTTAAACTAGATGAAAGGAAAATTAAACTCTGGTGAGTTTGCCTTAATAATAATAACAGCGTGCTGTGTTCAATGTCAGCTGAAGGCACCAAGGGGTTCAGATGTTTGTTCAGACACTAATCAATTGGGAATGCAGCAGGGAGAGGCGTGAGCGCCATTGATTTTGCTCTTCTGCAGAGCACAGCTAACACACAGTGTTAAAGGGGACATCGGATGCCCATTTTCCACAAGTTGGTATGATTCTTTAGGGTCTTCATGAAATACCTGCAAAATACTTTAATTAAAAATTCCTCAATAGTCGTGTAAAACAACACCCTTTTTACCTTGTCAAAAACAGCTCTGTTCACAACGAGCCATTTTGGTGCATGGCTCTTTAAATGATAATGTGCTACTGCTCACCCCACCCCTCTCTTCTGTTTTTTTGTGTATTCGGTGGCGCGTTACCATCAAAAACAAAACTAATGTTAGACTCTTATGTTCACTTTTACATCCAACTACAAAACACCTGGATTGCTTACCAGACATTATTGTCGCTATAGCTGCTCAAGCATGGAGAAAATGGCGGACAGTGTACAATGGGCTGAGGGAGGAAATATGCTAATACAGGACAGTCCGTCAGCGGATGTGGGCGGGGCCTGAGCAGTATGATGTCATTGTGCTCAGAAACTCAAAACGGCTTGACAATTGAGACTGTTTAGTTTTTTTGAGGGGGGTTTAAAATAAGGAGTGAATGGATTTTTAGCATTATAGGGTGGCTGTATCCACACACTGCTAAGACACATTTATATGCAAACACCGTATAAAAGTGAATTTTGCATCCGATATCCCCTTTAAAAGCCACTTTCCAAATAAACAAATGGCCACGCCACTGGGGTTTGTAACAGGAAACACTTCACACAGAACCACATTTCAAACAGTTTCATCATTTTTATTCTTCTGTTGCAGTAAACGGTTGTATGTACAGCAACCTGTGAATGAATATGGTGATAAAAGACGGCTCCACTTGTGTAACAGTTGTCAGTTTGTTCATGTATTTGCAATTACAGTGCAGCATGTTTTAATATTACTGTCAGTTTTTAGCTTTCATCTTTGTGGTGATTTGGAAAGCTGAGAGCACTAATCAGGGTATGACCCTAGAAAATTAGTTGAACTCCATCAGTTAACCCTGTTTACTTGGTTCATGTTCAAGAATTGGATCAAAGAATTTGTTTGGCTCAACATCTTGCCACTCTGTCACTGATTCAAGAGTAATTTGTTCAGACACTACAGAAAAGTCAGTGGAGAACTCGTAATAACAAACCAAAGTTTTTTTTCTTTAGTAAAGAAGTAGTTTCTAAAACAATAGGGTTCATCTAACATGTCCTCTCTAATACCTGAGGGAAAAACATGAGCAGCAGCAAACACTGACCTTTCTAACCTACATTGTGGAGGTGAGACTGAGGCAGTTCAAAACAACTATGGTGATCCGGCATCTTCAGAAGGTTAATGGGGGAACTGGCTTGAAATCCATTGTGTATCTGAATTATTCACCAAGTGTAATTTTTTTTAGAGAGGTGTCTCCTATAAAGGCAGAGGGTAAATTGCTCCCTCACTTGTCCTGAGGCCAAAAGCTCATTTTACATCCTTTCAGTGACTCGAGTGGAACTGGCCTGCTTTTAATTGTCTCAGCTTCAGATTATGAATGTGTTTTCCACTAGCCCTTAGAACTCAAAGCTATTTAAAAATAGTAATATAATATAATATAATACTTTTTATTCAGCAAGGATGCATCAACATTTACAATAAAGACATCTATAATGTTACAAAAGATTTCTATTTCAAAGAAATGCTGTTTTTTCAAACTTTTTATTCATCAAGGCTAGAACATTCAGTGTAATTTCATATAAAATCTAAGAAAGGATATTTTCTTGGCCATAAATTAATGAAAGAAGTCAATTCCTATAGCAGTATGTGTCTGTTTTAGAGAGAAATAAGTAGGGGGGAAGATTCTCTCTACATAACTTTAGGTCGTAAAGTTTATCTGATCTGGCTGAGGTGTCCTGGTTACCATGGTAACCAGGGGCCTGTTCTGCCTTTTTGAGGTGTACTGTAAGTCACATTTTGGTGGAAGGGTCCATAGACCCTCATAGAAGGCTAGTTGGTTGGGTGAGGGGTGTTAGGGATTATTTGTCAAGTATAACAAATAATTGTGTGTCTTATTAGTCCAGACGCTACAACAAATATTTTACAACAATTTCACATATTTTTTATAGCAATACAAAACATGAAGGACATATGCAAATTAACAGAGAGGCATTTCTGCACCTGAGCTGAGCACTTTAATGCATTGTTACTTGTTCATCTCTAGTTGGCAGTAACCCTAAAGACACATGAGAGGATGCATTTTCTTTGCACATAGAGGGGTCAGCATAAAATACTCTACTTGAGTGTGCACCAGTTGATGTCTAAATTTAGGATCTTGTGTGATTGATAGAGATAAACTGGTATGAATCAGCTACAGATTTAAGCATTACAACATCCTGAACACTTCCTGAGGCAGAGGTTTATTTTAACACTTGATGGTTGCTGTTTGTTGACTTCACAGGATGTATTCAGGGCAAAACAATGATCTGAACTGAAATATCCAGTTTTTGTCAGCACACAACATGACTGTGATCTCCAGCTCCCCAGTATACCATCTCGCCTTTTGAAACAGTTCTGATAGTTACTATTCTGAAATTCTGCTGCTGTTATATGTAGCCATATGCAGTCATGAAATATCTTTAACTGTAATTATACGGGAATCAGGGCATTATTAAGAGGATTTTTTTCACACTATTCCTGCCCGACTGTTCCTAATAACTCAAAACTGTGTGCACTAATGCACCGTATGTGTTATTTTTCAGTGGCATCCCTGGGAAGAATTGTGGTACCATTATTCTCACCGCAGAGGAACTCGGAAACTGTCGGGTAAGTCAGCAGTTTTACTATATCCTCCAAAGAATAGTTTTACTCTGAAATAATTGTTTTTTTCAACCCCTTTTCACTTCGAAATGCTTGCAACTATTCAGCAGTGAAAACCTTTACTGAAATGATTCACTTTGATAAGAAAGCTGACTACTGTTATACTCTTGAGATCAGACATAAATGTCTGACATGAATGAATGTTCATACAGAAATGAACTGGATTGTGCCTATGTCTGAAATATAAGTTGTTTCCACAGACAAAAGGGTAACAACATTTGAACACCAAAGCCACCTTTAAATACTTTTATTTCCATCTTACTGACAAAATGTTATTAAAGCATAAATAATGGAATAACAGAAGCCATGGTATTTGTAGTCACACGTTTGCATCATTATTTAATACTTCTAACATGCATTATTAACCATCTTTTACACTGGCCATTTACATTATTCTGCTTAACTAAATAAAGACCAGCGCATAGGCTTGATGGAGAAGCAGCTGAAAAATTACTGAAGTGAAGATCACTGCAGCATTGCCCATTGGGTACTGTTAGAGCTTTTGATCTAATACACAATGAAGGCTTTGTTTGTCTCCCTTGTTCTTCTGAATACTTTTAGCTGGTATTTTAAGACCCGCTCTTATTGAACCAAAGGGTCATGAAATTGCCATCAAGGTTTTCAAGGAGGAATGAACACACAATGGAATGCTGCAGCAACTGGTGTCATAGCTTGAGTAAAAAAAATAGTCTTAAAATTGCTTTGAAAAAATCAAAGTGAGATATGGATTGTGTGGCCTCTCTGAACCAATTCAAGAGTGATGATGTCTCCCCCTTCTAAGACCTGTGTACTCATAACATGTTTTGTTAAACCTGCATTGATTGTCTGGTCCTAAGTATCTGGAGAGGACCAAGTATCCAGCATCTAATATTCTGCTTATGCATTTTAAACCTGTTCTGACGTCAGTCTTGATTGCTCTTGGACCAAAGGATCCGATATAGTATCAGCGAATAGCACTAGATGGATATGATGAGAGGGTTCTTATAAATGGGAGTGATGGCTTGGAAAAATGATAAGCAATAAAATACTAATTAAGAGGCATTTGAAGATATCTGGTTATGTGAACATTCATATGGACTGCTGAAGATAATCAGACCATGTAGTTTAGTTTTTCCTGCAGAATTATTTTTATATACAAAGCCATATAAAGATGTATACAAAATATTATTTAAATAACATTTTAAAATATGTAATTAATAATTAATAATTTTAATATATAAATGATTTATTGCAAAAAAAGAAAAAGAAAAAGTATCTTTTGTAATGTATCTATCTGTAATGATACTAATTAAATTTTCATGAAATTGTTGAATTCTTGCTTCATTTCAAGTTAGATATTAATTCACAATCCACTTTGATGGATTCATTCAGTTTGTTCAGAGTAAAGGAGTTGAAAAACTTATTTTTAATCCTTTTGTGGGATTCATTTAAAGAACTGACTCATTTGTTTCGACTACAATAGTTAGCCAGCAATGACAATGAATAACATGTTTTATGTTGCAGTCCTCAGTCATTTTATTTCATCATATTCTCTTTAGACTGCATGTTAAAATATAACCATTCCATTTGTGGATTCAGTGGAGGAGGTCAGACAAAGAAGTTTCTATCTCCATCCCTCCCATCTCTTTATCATGTCTTCTCACTGGAACGTTCCAGTTTCGTCCCTCTGTCTAATAAAGTTTACTCTGTCACTGGTGATAGTACTCATTAAATCACTGAAATAGCAGTGCAGAGTAAATTACAGCTTTTCCGGGTTGTAAATGGCTATGTTGCGCTGACTACAAGCTCAAACACACACAAAGGACTGCTCATTTGAGCCATCTATTGCACACACTCACAGCCTCACTCAAGCTCATTTGAAATGCTCAAAAAGCTTTTCCCCTCTGTGAGAGTAATATATTGGTACATCTGCTTGATCTATATATATTTCACATGGTAGATCAAAAGATTTTACAGGATGTTATGAAAGGCTGGGTTTTGATCAGGTACATGCAAAGAACAGCTATGAGGAAATGCACCATGTGGAGGCGAACCCTCTGCTTAATAGGTTTGCAAATATCTTCAAAAGTCTGTCTCTTTCCAAGAAGTTACATAGATGAATCCCATTCAGAAACCAGATAAAACCTGCAAACCCAAAATAATGAATGAAATGTTTCATCTCTGAAGTTCATTGTGGCCAAAGACAGGGCAGCTTTAGCTGTGATGTGAATTGCTTTGACTGACTGTCATTTATATAACTAACTATGCTGTCATTTAAGTTGTTTACTGTTGCTGAAGAAAGAATTGCAATCTGCAAGAAGACTGACTCTCATGCTCGATTGCTCGATAGACGCTGGATTCAATACCAGCATAGGTTGATATTTCGCTTTTCTCTGCCCAAATTGTTTTCAGCTCAAATTGATCTTGCCACTAAGGTCTATTCATGGGATCATAATCGCTGTGAATGCTTGGTTTGAATGGGGCTGTTAATCATGTGCAAAGTCCTCCACACACTATGGTTTAGTTTCAGTCAAGAAACAATTCAAGCAATGTGTAATAGAAGATAGTGCTCCCTCGGCCATTAAATATAAGGTGAATTGTCCCTAGAGCGTGGAAAGACCACTGGCCATGTTCATCAGTGGATATACCATTAAGACTAATGACTTCGTATCAGTTAGACCTCACACCATAACATTATGGCTAATGAGGGTTGTCTCCATTGTGTTGATAACATCCCTCTGGCCCGAGAAGCCCCTAGCAAGCAGGTTTACGATGATGTCAGTCATTACTGGAGTGTAATTTGCAGTATCAACTGCACATCACGTGAATGATTCCTTTGGAAATGTTCTAGATCTCCTTCAATCTCTTCTCTCACTCACTCTTCGTCTCTCCTCACTGACTCCAGCCTACAATTTCATCCTTCTCTGAATGGCACTCTAAATGCAAGATAGTGTTTAGCGGCTAATTGGTTCAAATGGAATTGATGTTTGTTGATGCCAGGCACAGATTAACCATTTGGGCCACAAAATACCCATTTAGGGGCCACAGACGGTTTTTCTTTTGTATCCCAAGAAATTGCAGGTAATAATAAAAATTAGATTGGTATCTTGATTCATGTGGACTGTTATTTTAGTATTATTTATATACTATTGTTATTGTTATTTATATTTTGAATTTTAGTTAAAATTTTAGACACTTTGACACTTTTTAATATATCTGTATTTTGCTGCCATGACATCATTTAAAAAAATAATTATGTCAGCTTTATTTTAGTTAATGAAAACTTTTAATAATTTTAGTTTTGGTTTAAAGGGGTCCTATTATGCTCTTTTACAAAGTCTTGATTTTGTTTTGGGGGTGTACTAGAACAGGCTCTCATACTAGGCTGTTCGAAAAACACATTATTTTTCACATATTTTACATTATTACAACACCTCTCTCCCCAGTCTGGCATGAACGGCTCGAATAGCTCCTGTATCAAATGAAGGCCTGCCTTCTGAAATACGAAATGTGCTGTGATTGGTTAGCTGGGCCAGTGTGTGTTGTGATTGGCAGCACTCGGTGCCTGGTCGGGAAATGTCATGCCCCTTACCATAGCCGCCTGCGAGCTTCAGTGTAAATATTGCGTCAAAATCAAATCAATTTGAGCGCGATTTAAACCCGGATGATTGTAACCACTCTAAGTTCGTCTGCCTTGGGAAAGCTAGCGTGTCTCAGACATAGTGATAACACTTGTTGCTTTCTCTAGTGCAGCTCAACCAGGTCTCGTCCCATTTGTCGGTATTTGCGATATCACAAATCCCGGAAAATATGCGTTGTAGTCCAAACGAGTGGTTCGTTGTAGTTTTTGAAAAGTGATTTCTGTTCAATAAAATATCTCCTTTTGAAGTGGACTTTGAACTTTGTAACTTTGCAGATCTTTTTTATGCTCAAACAGCAACATTACAGACTAACTAAAGTTGAAAAAGTCAAAAAACATAATAGGACCCCTTTAACACTGTTCATGTGTCAGTGAAGTACATAATTATTATATAAATTCAATGATGATCTAATGACATTCTATACAATATTACAGTTAGGTCCATATATATTTGGACACTGACACAATTTTCATAATTTCGGCTCTGTATGCCACCAGAATAGAATTAAAATGAAACAATCAAGATGAAATTGAAGTGCAGACTTTAAGCTTTAATTCAAAGTGGTTGAACAAAAATATAACATAAAATGCTTAGAAATTACAACAATATTTTTATACACAGTCCCCCCATTTTCAGGGGCTCAAATGTAACTGGACAAATAAATATAATGATAAAAATGAAAAAAAAAAAAAAATTTTTTGATATTTTGTTTAGAATCCTTTGCAGGCAATGACTGCTTTAAGTCTGGAACTCATAGACATGACCAAAGACTGGGTTTCCTCCTTTGTGATGCTTTGCCAGGCCTTTGCTGCAGCTGACTTCAGTTATTGTTTGTTTGTGGGTCTTCCTGCCTTTAGTTTTGTCTTCAGCGAATGAAATGCATGCTCAAACAGGTTGAGATCAGATGATTGATTTGGCCATTGCAGAATATTCCACTTTTTACTTTAAAAAACTGCTGGGTTGCTTCTGCAGTATATGTTGGGTCATTGTCCATTTGTACTATGAAGTGCTGTCCAATCATCTTTGCTGCATTTGGTTGAATCTGGGCAGATAATATATATTGGTGGGTACGTTTAAGCTTAACCTTTAGTGGAGTTTACTGTTTAATGTTTTATTATGTTTTATTATGCATTTATTATGTCTGTTTGGTTACTGTATGGACTCTGATTAGTTATATTGAAATGCATGCTCAATCGGGTTGAAATCAGGAGATTGATTGGACCATTGCAGAATATTCCACTTTATTTTTTACTGGATTCTCCGATCATCCACCACTGCTGTCCTCCATGGACGTCCATGCCTTTTTATGTACCAATTTGGCCACTCCTAATGTTCCTGCTATCTATCTGATGGATTTGTTTTGTTTTTGAAGCCTAACAATTGTCTGTTTCACTTGTATGGAGAGATCCTTTGACCTCCTGATGTGGGTTCACAGCAACAGCTTCCAAATGAAAATGGCTCACTTAGAATCAACTCCAGATCTTTTATCTGCTTAATTGATATATAAATAACGAAGGAATAGCCCACGCCTGTCCATGAAACAGCTTTTGAGTCAATTGTCCAATTTTAATTGAAAAAGAGGTTTAGGTACATATTAAAGAGCTGTAATTCCTTAACCTTTCCTCCAATTTTGATGTGAATACCCTAATTAAAGATCAGAGTGTGCACTTTAAGCCCATATTCATTATATAGCTGTAACTCGAATATGTTTTAGTCAGCAGCTAAAATAATAAAAATTGTGCCTGTGTCCAAATATATATGGACCTAATTGCATATACGATAAGACAATAATTAATTTCATATTATGGTCGATAATCATTATATGCATTTTTTATTGATGTTTTTTTATTTGCCCAGATTTTCATCATAAAAGGTTATTTTAGGTAACCCTACCTAATGATAAACATGAATCTGCATAAAACTACTCCACTAAACAAAAACATTACATTCTACCATTGAGCCCTTGGAAAAAGACAAAACATTATGTCCATCAGAATGAGAAAATTACAGTCAGTGTTGTAGGGGGATGTCATAGTGTGAAATATTGTGATTAAAAAAGGGCCAGCCGTGTTTTTTGAGAGCTAAATATTGAGCCACAGTCAGGGTCAGTGGAAATTGTGGGAGGATTTGTTCATTAGCAAATTATTTATTTGAGAGTTGTTCAACGAAGACTTATTTTACCTTTAAAGGGGTCATATGACGTTGCTAAAAAAAGAACATTATGTTGTGTATTTGGTGTAATGAAATGTGTTTATGCGGTTTAAGGTTCAAAAAACACATTATTTTCCACATTCTGTACATTATTGTTTCTCCTCTATGCCCCGCCATTCTGAAACGCGTCGATTTTTACAAAGCTCATCGTTTTGAAAAGCGAGGT